GCTTTTTGAACCTTTTGACATCGCTTAGCCAAAGCTGCCTCTTCCTCGATGTTACCAGTGTTAGGATTAGCCTGCACCTCATATTGAAGAGTCTCTAGTTGTTTCTCAAGATCTCTTGCATGCCCTGAAATATCCCAGTGTACCTCTTTGTTGAGCTTTCTAAGCCTAGACCTTACTTCCCACAACTTTCCATAGAAGATATAATGCGGGAAACCCTCCTTCTGAATACTCCAAGCTTCAGCAACCAGCTCGAAATAAGAAGGGTGGGTGCCCCGGAATTTTAAGTACTTGAAAGGCTTAGGTAGAGTAGCCAAATGCGGGTTAGCATGAAGAACTAGCCCACAATGATCAGATATTCCTGAAGCTGAAGTTTGTGCCATACTAGAAGGGAAGGAAACCAACCATGCCTCATTAACAAATACTCTATCAATGTGCTTAGCCATATGGTTAAGCTTCTGCTTGTTCCACCAAGTAAACCAAGCTCCCAAAACTTTTTGACTAACCAGCTACAATATTTAATCTATCCAGTGCATTAGAAGATTCTGTACGATCCGCAATCGCATTAAAATCTCCCAACACAACAAAAGGAATATTGGTTTCCTTATGCAGCTGAAGTTCTCTATACATCACACACCTATCCTGCTTTCCATTAGAGCCATAAACAAACATTAGATATGCCTGTTGTTGTCCCTCTACCCAAACTTTCAGAAAATGCTCCCCTTCATCTACTTTTTTCACCTTCAAACATGGATTCCAGAAGAGTCACACACGACCAGAGCTAGACTTACTATAGTTATCAGCAAATGTCCATGGAGAAAAGGACTTATTCACTATCTTCTTACTATTATCCTTAGTTACTCGAGTTTCTAATATAATAGCTATATCTATATTCAACTGTCTCAACTTTCTAAGAACAGCTGAATGCTTGTCAGGGGTATTGAACCCCCTGACATTTCAGCTCAAAATCTTCATTTACCTCGCTTATTGCTCCTACCTCTACCCCGGGGAGGAGGAGGAGGAGATGGGGCCTTCTGCACTGTATTGGATCTTTGTAACGCTGAGAAGTTAGTGGCATCCAGAAATGGTTGTCTATGAACTCTAGATGATGATGCTTGAGCATGATTAGATTTCCTTTTTCTATGCTCAACAAGGTTAAAACCCTCCTCATCCACCATCGCATTAACTGTAGTCTGCAGTAGTAGGTAGCGTATTAACTTGGTCAGACTCCACAACAGTAATAGGAACAACTGAAACCAGGGCTGAGTATTCCATACTAGGAGAAACTAGTACTGAATTAACTCCTCCTCATGGGTAGTACCAGACCCACTAGAAGCTTCTGCAATATGCTCTTGTATCCCCTTACCTTTATCCTCACTTGTTGTAATCAAGTCTCCTTCAATAGCTTGCTTAACCCTCAAGCGTTGCTGAACCGGACCACCCCCTGGCGACGAACAATCATGCCCGAATTCACCACACTTTGCACACATCAAGGGGAGGTTGCAGTATTCCAAATCAACCCAAATATTGCTCATACCATCAGGCTTCATATTCAGCTTAGTTATAAGCTTAGACTGAGCGGAGATTTCCACACACACCTTTGCGATATTAAGCTTCGTCCCTCATCTAGTAGGAATATCCATACACAGAGGTCTACCAAATGAACTGGCAATTCTACCCAGACCTACCTTATTCGCAAACTCTGTCGGAAGATTTGTAATTCTTACCCAAACCGGAATCTTCGTGTTATTAATGGCCAGAGGCTGAATTCCGGGTTCCCATTTTCGCAAGAACAACATATTATCTCAATGATGCCACGGGCAACCCTCAAATACCCAGTGAAAAATCTCGGCCGACGGAAACTGAAACAAAACCAGCTTGTCGCCAAGCTTAAATGCACGCACTTCTCCGCCCCTTCCGCACAACCAATTTTCCCGGAATCCGATAGAGGAGATCGATGCAGGACGACCTAGGAACTGCCCCACAAGACTGTTTGCCCAACATTTCACCCCTTCATCGATCACCTACCTTGGAATTCTAAGGACTCTATCAATAAACTCATGCTCATAATACTCCAGGCGACTGTCCGGAGCAATTCCGAACAAAGAGACCCATATGGGCTACCGCCACTGACGGTTCCCGATGGGGGACCGTCAATGGCGGCCGCCATAAAAAATCGGAAGGAAACCCTAGCTTAGAGAGGAAAAAACGTAGAGAGAGGAAGAAGAGAATCATTCACAAATTATTTTTCTTTGTAAATAATGAATTGTTATATTTATTTTCATCAAATAAAATGTGAGAATTAGTCGATCCGTCTCGTCCCGTACCCGCACGGGTATTACCCGACCTTACCCACACTTGGTGCGGAACGAGTATGAGTATTGATAATTAACATTTATTTATGGAGTTGGGCAATTAATAACATTTAATTAGGAAGACAATATCTCCTTAATTAAAAACATGTATGGTAAGATAATTAATCAAATTATCTCAGAAATATTCTCTTTTGATTAATTATCCTTCTTAATTAAGATATTTGTTAAGGATATGCAATAATTAATTTTGGATCTTAAAGTGACCCACCCAATCGATAAACCGACTAGCTGGTCGGAGAATACATGCATGTGTGGTTCATTAGGTCCTCCTCCCACAAAACTGGTTACCCAATTAAGGGCATGTCCGAGAGAAAACTAATCTTTACGCACATTTAGCTTCAAACCTATTCACCATTTCCAACAGGAGCTTCCAAAACATCCTCGCAAGTATAGGACACAACCATTTCAGTACAAGCAGCAGCACCGAAAATGCTCAATACACTAGCTAGGTTGACTTGGATTCAAGGAATTGTACTTCTACACTTGATCTTAGCCAAAGCCCAAAAGGCAGAGAAATGGATTGTACTTCTGTTGCTGTTATTCTTTGGCTTCTTTCGTTCTCTGTCTCTGATCCTTGCGTGTGTTGCTCCTTTTGAGCTTTGAGCAGTCTGATGTTCAAGCTGATTTAGGATCTCGGTCTTGGTATCTAGCCTTCCAATTTGTACTTTGAACTATGTTTAATGTCTAAAAGTACTCCAACTACAATGGCATTACAAACGAAACAAAGGGCATATATAAATAGTATCTCACTTCTACACCTAATTAAAAAGGATTATGGATCAATGTGCGCGCGAGTGACTATGGGTCCACTAATATAACACAAAGACGAGATCAGAACTATTGTTGTCTTCCTAGCCGACGTGCAAGTTTTGCGACTGTAGACTGTAGTATGCTACAAAATATCTCCACTCTTTTTCGTTGAATAATCTCTCCCCCTTTACAATGCTGTTGAAAACAATAATTAGTTGAAAAGGACAAAAGTAACCAGCTGGAGCAACCAATAAAACTACGAAAGATGTTAACAAGTTGTGGCTCGCGTCTATCTGCATGGCATTGGCATGTAGCCAATGCAATCTTTTTGAAATCTCGCTGTAGAAATTGCTGTCCATGTACCCTGCATCACAGGTAACAACTTATTTCCTGTGGCGGACCCAAGTGTTAAAGATATTTCTACTCGAATTATTTTTTTTTTAGATTCAAGTTTCATTGGTACAAAAAATTTGAACTCAAGACATTTGATACAACTTCGATAATTGTAGCCGATACACTTTATTATACTGTAAAAATTTATCGTCATAAAGTTATATAGATTTTAAATTTTAATTAATTATAATAAATTAAATCAATTTTTATTTTATTAAAAAAAACTCAAGACACCTCACCCACCCTTAATTAAAACGACACGTTTCCTTACTCCTTTAAATTTCATTTCTTTTTTTTTTGGTCAACAAAAATTTCCCTACATCTGACACTAAAACTCATCCATCCTCTTACTCTAATTCAAATTTCTTCCTCTCCTTCTCTGAATAACAGTCGAGTGTCAAGAGGGAAAAATTCTTAACCCACTGTCTTGAAGGTTTCTGCTCTTTGATCCACCCTCCAATTGTCGGCACCCCATTCTCTTTCAAGCTTTCATGATGTTCGCCATCCTTTTCGTTTCTCAACTTCCCCATATTAAATTTTTATTTATTTAACGAGCACTTCTACTATGCTATAAAGTATTGGTGCTTTACTGTACAACTTGAAGTTGTACCATAACATTAAGAGTGCGCCTATGGTGACATGCATGTCAACCGTAACTTGTACTTTTCGGTCAACCTCAATTAGAGTTAGGTCAACCTAATATAATATGTTGTTTGAGTGTAAAAATAATTTCATGGTGCCTACTTTGGATATTCATATCTTACGATTAGCTCGATGGAAATTGGAGATTAATGGTTTGTTTTGAAGCTGGAGAGTCCCTCTATACATTGAAGTGCTTGGGATCTCGATAATCAGAAGACCATTTTTGAACCTTATCAAAAGGCTATGATAAAACTGGGAAACTAGCTGAAAATGGCTATGTCTGAGAAAGTGTTTGTGAAGCGTACTTTGGAGCTCAATTCGAGAAGCATGGATGAGATTCTAGTCTAGGGGCCTCTACCACATGAAATTAGGTATGTTTGTCTATAAAGTCAAGGCATTGAATGAAATATTGGATATCTGGAAGGCTTCAAACAAAAGGCTCGAAGTTGCTACGAAGTAAGCTGCCTTCTAGCACAAAGGAATTTGTACTCTTATGTTATGGTGCAACTTTACAACTTAAAGTTGTACCAACATTAAAAGTACAAGTTCAAGTTGTACAATAAAATAATTTGTACAAAAGAGTATAGGTACAATCTGAAGTTGTACCATAACGTTAAAAGTACAACTTCAAGTTGTACCATAAAGACAAAAATCTAAAACACCAATACTATATATCTTTTTGTAAAATTCCTCTTATTTAATATTTGTATTGATTAATTTGTTCCTATCAACCGACACACCCAAAAATTCTCGATGGGCCACTGCCTATCCCCAATCTCTCTTGTTTCATAAACCACATCCATCAGCTTTCTCTATATAAACAACCCTAACATAGCCAAACTGGAAACGCACCACAACGCAAGCTGACCATCTCAGAGTTTAACTGAAGTTGCCATTCTCTCCAGTCTCAGTCCCTGGGAAAAAAAAAGGGAAAAAAAAATATGGCAGCCGCTTCCAAGTCCCCGATCTTGTTCCTATTTGCTGTCTTCCTTGTTGTCTCATTCTCAAACGTGGAGGTTGGAATGGCGGCTCGCCAGCTTCTCCAGCTGCCGAATCTGCCTCCACTCCCGGTTTCAGTTCCAGCCGCCGCTGGCGTTCCGGTTTCAATTCCGGTTTCAATTCCGGTTTCAGTTGCAGTTCCATCCGGAGTTACACTTCCGATTTCAGTTCCAGGCGTAGCCGGGGTTCCCAAAGTCGCTGGCGTTCCGGTTTAAGTTCCCTGACTTCCATCCGCAGCTATGGTTACACCATCGCCAGGAAACTAATTAAAGAATATGTTACCGAGCTACTGGAAAATGGAGATGGAGATGTACGAATGAATGTTATGTGTTGCTTTTGTTGTTATATTGTCATTCGGGTACTGCTAAGTGGTTCCTATATGTAATTCCTCGATATAAAGTAAAGGCTTAGACTGGCCGCTACGTAGGTTTCTGTTCTAGCAAAACCTTGTTATATGTACGCTTTATGCAATGCAGTTAATGCGTGTTTCTACTCAGAAGCGAGAACATGAATAAAAGCGCAAAATATGAAAGCATAGTGTGCAAGATTGTAAGTTTATGTATACAGTCTTATCAGACTTAGGTTAAACTTTATGTCTCGTTTAAAAATTCCACTACTTGTGTTGATAAGCTAATTTAACAAACTTTTTCTATAATGGACCAAATTCTAATACATAAACAATAAGTTCCACAATTACAATCACAAGTCATAACACAAGTTTAACAATCCAAATTGTCACAACTAAATCAAATTGTCTAAATGATAGAAATGAAACTACATCAGTGCATCAATTTCACCCTTTGCATCCATGTCATCATCATCTCCACCAACCAATGTAGTAAAAAATCATGCTTTAAAACTTAAAAACTTACGTTTATACATTTTTTTGGTCAACAAAACGCTTCTACGCAAAATCGCACTTTTTGCAACTAATGTAGTTAAAAACGCACTTTAAGACTTAAAAACTTACGATTTTACACTTCTAAATCACCATAACGCTTCTACATAGAAACTCGATTTTGACTACATTGCCAATGCCACCAACTATACTAGCTTTTACACGGCCCTTGGCAGAATGAGTTTCGCTTTATCACTAATATTGGTTAATTTATAATTATATTTAAAATATTAACCCGATTCTTTGCTCGGAGGAATTTTATTTTATTTTATTTTGATAAATCTCTTCATGTTATTAAATAATTTGAGGTTTCTAAAATAGTTAATTCATTATTTCATAGTAATCTTTAGGGTCATAGGTATAATATGCCCCTCTACTATGACGTTTTATCAAACATGCCCCTCTACTATTTTTTACATCAAACATGCCCCTATACTTTGTAAAAATGATCAAACATGCTCTTTTAATAGAAGGGCATAATATATGTCATCTAGAATGGTAGGAATTAAAGGTATATAAAAAATCAAGAGAATAACGAAAAGATTATGCCTAGAAATCTCAAATATGGAAGAACACGAAAACATAATGCTTATTGTATAAATTATTAGAATTTAGTGTATAGGCTTGATTGAATAATAAGTCGAGGCTGTTAAGTGTTAGATACTAATGCACGGACAAAAGTTACGAAAATTCAACATTATAAAACCTTAAATTCTACTCTATCAATACAATCTTTAACTTTTCATGTGGAGTTAATAGCATAAATTGTCACTCTATTATCCATTTTTCTCAAATCTATCCCTTTTTATTTTTCACATCAAACATGCCCTTGTAATCTATAGTATATAAGTAAATCAAATTAAATTTAATCTCTTTTATGGCTTATCTTCTCCATCTGCAACTCCCAATAATTAATAGCCACAATCTTATCCTCCATCTGTCACACTTTCTCTTCCTTTGACCTAACAATAATTAAACACAAAAACTTGTCTGTCACGAAAGAACCTTGAAGACCGACTTTCGAATTTCAACCACTTTCTGAAAAGTCCACAATTATTGATCGATTTGACTCAATCATAAAAATTGGAACCCAAAATTTTTAGAATATATGGATTTCAAGTATCAAAGGTTGTCAACCTGGTTTAGCCCATTGGCCCAGTCGATCAAGTGGGTTGAGGGTTAATGGTCTAATTGTTTTAGTCCACTTTTGCCCGAATATGTGAAAAAATGATTATATTGTTCATATATTTATAAATTATATAAAATGTCATCTACATATGAATAATATTCTTCCTCGACAGGACTATCTACATTTGTTTCTGAATCTGCTATTTTCTGCTATCCTCTTTCGAGCTCGTAAAATGCACTCCAACAACATGTATTCGTCATGCGATGAAGGTCGCACTCCTTTCCTATGGTGGTGATGTGTGTGTTAGAAGTGGAATTAATGAGTAACGACCAAGTGGAAATTGAGCATGGGGGTGTTTGTGAGGGAAGACAATATGTGATGGAAGGCGAGTTCTTCCAGAAGTCTCTTTGTTAACATAATTCAATTGACATATTTATCTTACCAATTCGCAGAGCGGGAGCTGGATCGCAGGAGCTAGAATGGGAGCGTAAAAGTGTATACTCTTCAAGAATTATAATTTGAGTGTCCTGAAAGAGCGTGAACATTATATTATTTTAATTAATATATCATTTAACTTACTAACATGTTTTGGTTAAAATATTATACCAATGCAGCGAAAATAAATAAAATTATTTTAGTAGAATAATAGCTTCAAATAATCTGATTAGACGAGAAAAAGAACAAACTTCAAAAGGTGAATAGAAACCCAAAAAAGTTTACGACGCTATTTTGTTTTATTTTTTAAAAAAGGAAAAGAGAAATGAATGCATCGTTTATCCACCCCCCCCCCCTCCCCCATGCACTCAATTAGTTATTGATAAAAGAGTCTATATCTTTTTCTTCCCCTTCCATTCTTTGTTTCCTAAGCCGACTCTGGAGATCTCCTGTAGATGTACCAAATTGGCAAATTCTATATCAGCGGCTATCTAATAACCTTCTATCATTTTATTCAGCCCCAAGCGCGTGATTTGATTATCTATTTCACAGTACTCATTCACGAACTCGTAGTGTATCCTTTTCGTCTTTGCTCTCAAGATCTATGACGGTACCACATGTATTTCTGACACGCCAAAACACAACACCAAACTGCGACCAAGTATAATCGCAGTCCGGGAATGCAGTAAAGTGACAAGTTCTATTATCAACCCGGGGTCTAGATCTACTGCTTACTCCGTGATTATCTATTATCTAGCCAACTAAGTCAAGTGATTGTTGTTTTAAGCAAAAGCAGAAAGAAAGCAGGAATTGGTACGGTTTTCTCAAGCAAAGAAGAGTCACTCGGGAATGAGCCCCCCTAGCTCCTTAGTTAGGTCTCAATTGTAATTACCCTGGGTTGATTTACTGTTGATTAGACTGCAGAAGACCCGACAGTAGCTTGGAATCTCTTAAGCTGACCAAGCCCTCTCAGTCTAACTACCCGGCAGACGACTAGTCTTCACCGGGATAGAAAGCTGAAGCAATGAGAACAGAACTCAACTACTGGAATTGGATTCCAGTACAAATCAGTAAACTAGCTAACTCTCGTATAACCAATCTCCTACTACCAAATGATGAAGCTCTAACAATCTAATCAGATTCTATCTATCTCAGGTTGCAGCAGAAATCAAGAAAAGCTGATCAGACTTCAATCAACTCAATAAAACATGCATCATTCGATTAAAACCAAATAGTAATATCATCCCAAGTCATTACAATCAAATCTCTAACACATGGAACTAGGGTTCTTCATACCCAAGTGAGAGAATGGTTCTACTCCATAGAGAGAGAGAGGAAAACAGAAATCAAAGTAGTCATACTCATAAAGATGAGGAAAATCTGCTCTAGGATGTCAATCTTCACTTCTGGGGACGCAATCTGGGCTTCAATGGTGAGAAATCCACTCCAAATAGCTCCTAGGGTTTGTTCTTCGTACTTTCTCTATCTAAAACTCTATTTTTGCTCTGAAAATCCGATTCTCTCACTTGTGGCCCAAAATTGGGTAAAAACCAGAAAATCCCGATCACACAGGCAGGCCACACGGCCGTGTGGCATACCCAGTTGCCCGTGTGAGATCCAAAACGCCGCGTTCCGATTAATTGGCTTCAGGCTACCTACACGGCCATGGACACACGGCCGTGTGGCTCACCCAGTCTGCCATGTAAAGCCTCGCAGAATCCCACACGGCCACATTGCAACATCACACGGCCGTGTGGGATTTATTTGTGCCCGTGTGAAGGCTCGCACAATCTCACACGGCCACATTGGTTACTTGCACGGCCGTGTGGGTTTTGTGTGTGCCCGTGTGTCTTCCTCAGCGACTCGCCACGCGTCCGATCTTCGTCCAATCGACCCCGAACTCGCTCCCAAACCTTCATTCACGTACTAGGACCTGAAATATCACAAACAAGCACAACCTAGCGTGAAATCGGCCTAAAACACGAGAATAAACACCTCAAACGGCTCAAGAATAGGGGTAAAAACATGTGTAATTAACGGTTTATCAAACTCCCCCACACTTAACCGTTTGCTTGTCCCCAAGCAAACCAAGTCAGACACAAGGTAAGCTCACATACTTCAATCATACCAACATTGGGGACAAATCATATGCGCACAGAAACACGTGAATCATACTGGCTTTCAAACATCAACACATGAACAACCTCAATAGCAACCTTGACAACCACCACAGAAGACATTCGAGTGCAGCAAAATCGAGTAAAGGAGGAGTCTCTGTTCTGTTCATCAACCAACATAGACTTGACTGAACCACTTACTCAAGACAGTCAACTCTTGCATAAAACTCAAGACATCAGAATCAAGACCGAGCCATCTAGGTCCTCACCGGGGTAAAGAGTGTACAGAACAAGGAAATGAATCGCCCACTCTCGACCAGTGGGGTCAGGACTATTTGATGCGAAAAATGCGCATACTTATTCTCTCAATTCCTAACATCTATTCACCATGACGGCAGCCTCTAAATGTTAGAGTTCACATATGAGGTGTCACCACTAACTAATCCGGAGGTCTTAGACACAGGTTCAAGTGGCTGGCTAGGGTCTTGGACATGGGGAAAAGGCCTTTTAGGTGGTGGAAGAATTCATAGCACACGGTTCCACAATTCCAAACCCAACAAACTCACAGTCAATCAAACCTGTACTTTCTTTCTGCTATTCTGCATTACTCAAATTCTTTAGAGCACAAGAGCGAAGGAGGTCACATAAATGCTAGTATTTCTAAGCCAGACTGCTAAGAAACACTACTTAATGGGCACTATTCAGATTTTTTGTGGTGGCTTTCTTTTGCTTTCATTTTTTTCTTTGTTTCTCTTTCATTTTTCTCATTTCTTAAGAGAACCACCACCTCTGCACATTTCCAAACACCTGCCCCACTTTTTAAGAACTAACTCC